AAACTCTCTAATACCCACAACTGTCTTCAAAAGATACTGTTGTACACTTCAGTTTCCGAGTTAGGCACCATTTGAATTAGTGCTCAGTTTTAAATGCTTCCCAGTTTCAATGCAAACTCACGTGATGATCTTGATGCTGGTTTTTTTCAGGGCACAGAAGCCTAACAGCAGCGGTGCCTCCCTGCCTTGCAATACCTGAACCACGGTGTTTTGCTGAGATACAATATGTAGAGTCACAATGGAAAGAATTAGAATTAAATGCCAGGACAGCACTGCTCTGGTAATGAAATTATGTTCTATTTGTAACAGAATTCCCTCGCGTAGACAGAGCTCACTGATAAAATGGGGAAGGAAGCTTTTCTCACAAAGAAATCTAATAATTCTTCAGAGTAGAATTCCTTGCATCTGTTAGGAAGTCGTCAGTCTGGTTTCATAAGAGAGAAGATAAATCCTCCTTGAATAGATAGTCTATGTTGAATTTTATTGTCTATCCTCAGGCTACAGTCCTGCTGAAGGCAAAGCTTTCTTTGAGGAGATTGTAAACATTTAGTGCAAGAACATTTCTTTTAATGGAAGAGGAAGAAATTTGGCTCATGACTTACACCACTTTTGTGTATCCACCTGCATTAGTGGAGAGTAAAACCTCTTAAGCAAGCAGCTTGATAAACTGCAGCGTCCCAGAGCTCAACATTTATTCCAACAAACTTTACCAACATATTTGCCCAATAGGAGTGATATTTGCCTAGTAAACACTTTTGAGAGAGAAAAAGATATTAATTAAAAGCAAGCAATAAAGTCAGAGGTATTTACTACTATTTCTCTAATAATTCTCCTTTTTTAATAAACAGAACCAAAACCATAGCTGGTTAGATTAAGTTTTGCAGCAACAGTAGTGGCTTAACAATTGTCTACCAGACGCTGGTGTGGAAAGAGACACACGCAGAGAAACAATTCCATGGTTAAAACACAGAACTCTTATCAGTTGTTCTCATGTCTGTTTTCAGATTTGCTGGTATTTTTTTCCTGAGAGCTGATGTCCTGGCTCATTGCAGGGGAGTTGGATTAGAGGACCTTTAAAGGTCCTTTCCAAGCCAAACCATTCTATGATTCTATGATCCAGCTCATTACAGTACTGATCCTTAAGAAACATCACCAGGAAGACTTTGAACCATGGACCACTACTGTCCTTCAACCAGTTTTTCCCTCACTTTGTTGTCCACCCATCCAGTTCACATCTCCTTAATTTGGCTACTAAGATAATATGCGAGACTGTACCAATAGCCTTTCTCAAGTCAAAGCGAACATCACCCATTCCTCTCCCTTCATCCATAAAAACTATCATTTCATCATAAAAGTCAATCAGGATTTTCAAGCTTTTGGTAGATCCAAGTTGATGATCTTGCTCTTGGTAGATCCATGCTGGCTGTTCAAATTTTTCTTCTTCACATGCCAGTAAACAGTTTTCATGAGGAACTGCTCCAT